GACCCTCAGGCTCAGCCAAATATGAATCTTTCACAGTGTCACTACCATTGTTTTGCCATGCATGAACATTTGACAGCATCTTCTCTGAACCTGAATACATATCTGACTCGCTTCCTTCATTGACTGTTTCTAGTGCACTCATCTCATCGCCGTAGAATAGCTCCCCATTATTCGCACTTTCTAATAAACCAAGGAATCTAAATGCGGGAGTCCCCACAAAATCAGCACCTCCATGTAATGAAACAACTAGACGGTCAAAAAACAGTTTGCACACAAATAGAAAAAGAGGAGGGGTACACAGCCGTAGGTTTTACCTTTCTTGCCCGTATACTCCAGTATTCATTAGATTCTGCTCCGTCGCCATGGCGCCGCCGTGCCCTTCGAAGCTTAGATCTAACATGGAAACCCTATCCTCCTCCAAGAGGCAGCTCGTTTTGCTAGTCAATAGCATATCTGCTTGCACTGCCTACCACTTAAATGCCACACTGCCCAACTACCACAACAATTTTTTAATGCTTTTCCTCCCCCTGCCATACATAAACATTGTCTTTCCACTAGACGTGTGTTCGCTGCCTAACTCCTTCGGGTGACGTGTGTTCGCTGCCCAAGCCCTTCTGTTGTTGGTACCAAGATTCCAATGATTATTACTAATCCTCACTTTCACACTAATTTTTCGCATGTATTAATTGCCCCATGATACTAAGTACTTGTAATCCATTTTATTTACTCCCTTACCAGTACCTTTTACTACGTACTTAAACATATTTTTTCGACACAAGTTACACCAAAATTCTCGTGTGCTACCACAGTACGTGTTTTTACTCGGTTGTTTAGCGTGCCAAAAGAACCGCGCCCGCATTTTTTTAACGTTCATACATTTTTTAATGTGACAACTATACAAATATGTACAAACATAGCCAGTTTTTCCACAAAAAGTCATAAGTATCTGTAATAGTTTCTCCTAATAATCTCTATTTTTTATTCCACTTGCTACATTTAATAAACTGCAAACAAAACTCATTCTCACATCTACTATGAAGAAACACTATATGTCATCCCAAAGAAAACATTTATGAAAACGTCGCATCTTTGTCAACATAACTCTGGATTCCCTTTCAAATTCGGCCAATACCAATTATTTATTAATTATAAAGATATTCAGTTATACTCTCAAACTAGTTCTTACCTTCGCCCACCTTTGTTTTTTAGAGCACCCATACGGGGTGAATTGTCACGAAATGCACTTCGTTTCCTGGGTTTATATGCACCCTATATGGTGATTTTTAAATATTTTTAATAAAAAGTCAAAAATAGGTAAGAACTATTTTGACTAAACACTTGAATTACTTTTGCACTGATATATAAATCTCGACCAAAAAAAAACAAAAGTTGACCTAACGGCAAAAAAGACAAAATTTATTTGCTATTATAGGTCACTATTCACACTATTTTAGCCTAAAAAGTTGCTTTTATTGAAAATAAGTCACAAAGGATTTTTTTTGGAATTTATATCTCACGAGTACAATAGAAGGTCAAGTTTATTTCAAAAGTATTTTCAGGATTTTTTTACTTTTTGTTGAATTACTATTTTTTTCCATATAGGGTGCATATATCCCCATAGACCAAAAATTCCCCTCCTGGTCAATGTTCTATGTTTCTACCTATGCAACATTACAAAATCCAATTATAACCACCCCGGGTGCATGTTCTTATATAATAGTACCACAAAATGAATCGTCTTTTATACAAAAAACATGTACACATTTTTCTTTCATTGCATCAAAGTAATTCATTTTAAAAAAACTGACCTACATCCAAACTAATGTGATCCAAAGTTACATTAGCCCCGTAATCATTTTTATTACTAACATTGACAAGCACCATCCTAACTACATCCATTCTGGGGCATTGTAACTGCTCATTGCCGTTCTGTAACAAAGCAGCTGTAATTTTGAAAATTGTGATTAGTTTCCATGAAACTAGCACAACTACATTTTTTTCCTGCTACACCACATCTAACATTTTCTCCGCAAATACACAACACCAGAGTGATGCATCTCAGAATTCATCTTCATTTAACATAGTACTAGACTACAGAAAACCACATAAAACATCTGACATATGCGTTATATATTACATTATATTTCCAAATTCTTGGGCCATCAGTAATTCATTCCACCATCGTAGGACTCACTATGCATTTCGGCGGTACTCCAATATTACCATCCATTGTCAACACCATGTGTGCGATGTACTCCCTCATCTTCTTCAACCCATCCTGTTTTATTTGCCAACAGTAAGTACTTTTTTAGTTTAACAAAATTAGGGATGTATGGAAATATGCCATACCTCCGTACATCCATGTGCCAGACCAGTCCCCATGTAATTTGTAATGCAATGAAGAATGTAGAATGAACTGTCAAATCTACCAAATGAAACCATATCACAGTTATTAGCACATAGATATAGCTCACAATATTATAATGCAAGATCAGGAAAGACCTGTTGCTGGCCTTCTCAAGGAAGCTGTGATACATAAACTGGAATGATTCCGCATCGATATTCCATCCATCAAAGAACCTATAAACACATCTAGAAAGAGCCTCGATCAAT